TTATCAATTCAAAATCAACCCAATCCAACCATCCAAAATTTTGTCCACCAACTTGTTATCATCACTACCAATTCTTCTCCATCAACATAACTTCACACAAATTACAAAACATTTTACAAAACACAAACCACAAGAGAAGAAATATAAGTAAGAACACCATGTTAATAATTTATTTGTGTTGAGTTTTTGTTTACAGATTGAAGAAAAGAAGAAGAACAAATCAAAATAGCATCTCCCCTGCGCAATCGACGGCAACACTCGAAGGATGCATAAAATCTAGTTTCAGGGTCAAAAGTGTGGATCTCCATACAAATAACTTGGAGAAGCTGCTAAAAATCTTTCAAAGAAAAATAAATTGTTATAAATAATCAGACTTCGATATGTGATTACTTTTCTAACAGGAGACAAACCTTTTGTATTGCTCTTATTGAATAAAATACACTCTTGGTCCTTATATAGACCTAATGACTTTTACAATTCTCAAAAGATAACTGCTACTAATAAAACTATCATAACTTACCAACTTTTGTCCTTCCAAATTACATTGACTCTTAATCTTCCTACTACCATATTTAATATGAAAAACTTATTACTAATAACATTAAAGTTTACTCAACAAAACTCCTCTGTAAACTTAAATGTTTCTTCCATCCAGCATTCCTATCATCTTCTTGCCTCTGTCGAAGATCTCTTTTGATAGTGGTTTTGTGAAAATATCCGCTGCTTGGTTTTGCTTGCTACATGCCTTAATTCGACACTTCCCTCCTTCACATGTTCACGAATGAAGTGAAATCGAACATTAATGTGTTTGCTTCGTTCATGATTCACTGGATTCTTTGCCAATTCGATAGTTGATTTATTGTCCACTTGTATTATTGTTGGACTTTCCTGTTTTAGCTCCATCTTGCTTATCAACCTTCTGAGCCATACTGCATGACAGACGCACCAGGATGCTGCCACATATTCAGCTCCACACGTCGAAAGTGTTACTATAGGTTGCTTCTTTGATAGCCAAGTAAATTCTGTGTTTCCCATGAAAAACACATACCCAGAGGTGCTCTTTTGATCGTCTATGTCTCTGCACCACTCACTGTCAAAATATCCAACTAACTTGTAGTCTTCTGTTTTTGAATAAAGCATTCCTAGTGATACCGTTCCTTGGGTGTATCTTAGAATTCGTTTCAGCGCCTTCCAATGTGTGTGTAATGGCTCCTCCATGAATCGACTTTGCACGCCAACACTTAGTGAAATGTCTGGCCTTGTGCATGTGAGATATCGAAGGCTACCTAACAAGCTTCAACATTTGCTTCCTTCAACCCGTTCTCCTCCATCAAACTTTGACAGTTTTGTACCTGGTTCCATTGGCGTCGAAGTTGGATTGCAATTCTTCATTTTATATTTTTCTAGGATTTCTTTTGCATATTTTTCTTGTGAAATAAAGATTCCAGCTTCTTCTTGTCAAACCTTCAGACCAAGAAAGAATCTCATCAGACCTAAGTCTGTCATTTCGAATTCGCTTGTCATGATGCTCTTGAAATCTTCGATCATCTGAACATCACTGCCTAGAAAGATAAGGTCATCAACATAGAGAGCAACAAGTAATAAATTACTTCCATTTTTCTTCACATAGAGGGCGGGTTCATAAGGACATTGCTCGAACCTATTCTCTTTGAAATATGTGTCAATACGTGTGTTCCATGCCCCAGGTGCTTGCTTCAGCCCATACAGCGATTTCTTCAGTTTCAACACCTTCTTCTCTTCTCCAATTCTCATATATCCAAGTGGTTGTTCGACATAGATTTCTTATTCGATCACACCATTCAAAAATGCTGTCTTGACATCCATTTGAAATATTGTCCATTTGAATTGAGCAACTTGAGAAATGAGTAATCGAATTGTCTCCATTCTTGCAACAGGCGCAAACACTTCGTCATAGTCAATTCCTGCTTTCTGTTTGTATCCCTTTGCAACCAGTCATGCTTTGAATCTTTCGATTTCTCCTTGAGCATTCATCTTTTTCTTGAATACCCACTTTACACCAATTGGTTGACTACCTTTTGGAAATTCGACTAGCTCCCAAGTATTGTTGCGTTCGATTTCCCTAATCTCTTCGTCCATGACACTTTTCCACTTCTTGTCTCGTAACGCTTCTTCGACATTGATGTTTTCAACATCTGCCAGAAGACACACAAGATGTACCTCACTTGTTGAATCATACAAATCTTGCAAACTTCTCATTTTGGGTTGTAGAGGTTCATCTTCATCTTCAGTTTCTTCATGTTCTGTTGGAATACCTGTTGGTACAGCTACAATTGTTTTTTCGACTGCGTCAATAACCTCTGTCGAATTGTTCCAGTTCCACTTGCTTGCTTTGTTCATTCGAACGTCTCTACTCACGATCACTTTCTTACTTATGGGATCGAAGAGCTTGTACCCTTTTGTCTTCTCATCATATCCAATGAATATGTACTTCTGACTTTTGTCTTCAAGCTTTGTTCTTCGTTGATCTGGTACATGTGCATAAGCTATACTACCAAATACCTTGAGATGAGAAATTGTTGGATTTTGTCCACTCCATGCTTCTTGTGGTGTTTTGTCTTCTAACTTCGAATGTGGACATCTATTCTGAATATAAACAGCACATTGTACTGCTTCTGCCCAGAATTCTTTCGACATCTTCTTGCTTTTGAGCATTGATCGAATCATGTCAAGAATAGTTCGATTCTTCCTTTCAGCCACACCATTTTGTTGAGGTGAATATGGTGCAGTTAGGAATCTCCTTATGCCCTGTTCTTCACAGTACTTCACAAAGGCCATTGAAGTATATTCACCTCCTCTGTCAGATCGAATTTCTTTGATGTGTCTATCTGTTGCCTTCTCCACCATTACTTTGAACTTTTTGAACACTTCTAATGCTTCAGATTTTTCTTTCAGGAAGTAAACCTAGTTTTTTCTTGAGAAGTCATCAATAAAAGAAATGAAGTACCTTTTTCCACTGAAGGATTCTGGAGTGATTGGCCCACATATATCAGTATGTATCAATTCGAGAATATGTTTAGCTTGATACTCTGCCTTCCTTTGAAATGAGGTTGTTTGCTGAGCACATATTCTTCACATAATTTTCCTTTGAAATCCATGTCTGGTAGTCCATACACCATGTTCCTTTTCGCCAACCTTCTCAAACCAGCATGATGTAGATGACTAAAGCGCATATGCCATAGTGACGCTTTGTCTTGCACTTTGATTTGTAGACATTTCTCTCGAATGTTCCTCAGGTTTAGTTTATACATTCGATTTCTTTCCATTTCGACACGGGAAATCAGATGTCTTACTTTGTCCTTCAAATGCAGTGTTCGATCTTTCATAAGTATCGAACCATCTTTTTCTGTAAGTTGTCCCAGACTTAATATGTTGGTCTTGAGATCTGGTACATAGTAGATGTCTTCGATTGATCCAATCAAGCCATCCTTCTGCAAGTAACTGATTGTTCCCTTTCCTTCGACCTTCACTTTCGATGCATCTCCAAAAGACACATTACCATCTTCAATTCTCTTCATATCTTTAAACAGGTGTTTGTAACCACACATGTGATTACTTGCTCCTGAGTCAAGATACCAAACATTGTCATTATTGGTGTTGATTTCGTTTTGAGCCATCAGGAGAAAGCCTTCATTCGATTCAGCTTCCAAGGCTAGGTTGGTTGTTTCTTCAATCTTCTTTTCGGTTCGACAGTCTTTTGCAAGATGTCCCACTTTGTCACAGTTGTAACATTTGTAGGAGTTGCAATCCTTCGCGTAATGACCATACTTCCCACACTTGTAGCATTCGAAGTTGGAATGATTCGAACGACCACCTCTTTGACCACGTCCTCTGCCACGCCGATTTTGTTGGCTCGATTGTCCTCTTTCAAAGTTGCTACCTCTACCACTTCGACCACTGTCACGACCTCCACGTCCACGTCCTCTTCCTCGAAAGTTGTGAGAAAAGAGTACCTTTTCGTCTTTGTTCGATTCCTTGGTTTGATTTGCTTCTTCGACTGCTTCTTCTTTCTTTTTCATCTTTCGTTGTTCATGTGTTTCGAGAGAACCAGCGAGCTCTTCGACTGAGAGCGTCGAAAGGTCCTTCGACTCTTCTATTGCACACACAATATTCTCAAACTTGTTTGTTAAAGATCTCAAGATCTTTTCAACAACTCGTGGATCAGTTACTGTCTCTCTATTTCTGGTGAGTTGATTCACCATCTTTTGCATACATGTGATGTAGTCAGATACAGTTTCTGTATCCTTCATATGTATCCTCTCCAATTTGCCATGAAGAGTTTGGAGTCGAACTTGCTTCACTCGATCTGCTCCTTTGAACACTTTTTCTAACGTGTCCCACGCTTGTTTCGACGTAGTCGAACCAACAATTTTTTCGAAGCCTGATTCATCTACAGCCCTGAACAACATGTATAATGTTGTTTTGTCCTTTGATCGCGTCTCTTTCAACACCTTCGTTTGAGCTGCCGTATATTCCCTAACTTCTGTTGGTTCTTCAAACCCTTCATGGGTCACATCCCACGCGTCTAGAGATCCAAGAAGAGCTTTCATTTGGATACTCCAGTTTTCATAATTTGACTTCGTTAGCCGTGGCAACGACATTTGATTCATCATGTTTGCCATGAGCTCTGATGCCAAATTGTCATAAATAATCAGACTTCGATATGTGATTACTTTTCTAACAGGAGATAAACCTTTTGTATTGCTCTTATTGAATAAAATACACTATTGGTCCTTATATAGACCTAATGACTTTTACAATTCTAAAAAGATAACGGCTACTAATAAAACTATCATAACTTACCAACTTTTGTCCTTCCAAATTACATTGGCTCTTAATCTTCCTACTAACATATTTAATATGAAAAACTTATTACTAATAACATTAAAGTTTACTCAACATAAATATCCACTATCACCCACAAAAGAAAGCTTGGTGCAAGAAATTGGACTCAAATTTCCTCAGGTTGACAAATGATTTTGAAATTCTCGATAGAGCTTCCGACATTCACCATAAATAAAAGCCAGCCCAGGTAGTGATGCTTCATAGCAGGCCACTGACAGCGAACTGAAAGAATGAAATACAGAGTCGCTGGGACGATGTCGGAAACATGATTCTGATTGTTGGCGACCTGTCAATCTATAAAAGAACCGTTGCGCAGTACATACCTTCACCTCCGACAAATCTTCTGATCCGCGACCTCCCCCCACATCAACCATCGGAGCCACTTTCCCCCACCTACAAACGTAACACACCCAACAACAACCTTCGACACATTGAAACTCCGATTCAACGATCCCTATTAAGAATCCAAGTCGCTCTGACCGTCTTCATCACACTAATTTACTCCTCCTCTCGCCATCAACCTCTTCTGACAACGCCACAATCGTCAGATCGAGCCCTCGCGCGATTCCGCTACCATGACGCTTGCCTCTCTCCGACGAACTCATGAGGCGAGATCTTCCTTTTTTCTCTTTGATTGTATGGTGGATTAAAGGTTTTTTTGTTGAGTTGTTTGGGTATTAATTGAAAGGACTTGCTGAATTGATTGAGAAGAAGAGAGAAGTGGGGACTTAGTTTTATTGGAAAAATGAAGCAGGTTTTTATTTGTCTTCTATCCTTGGATTATTTAAACAAGAAGAGAACAAGGAATATCATTTCTCTCTCCCCCGTTAACATGTTATATTATGTTATTGTTTATTTTTTTATTTTTTATTTTATTTTTGCCACATGTTTACGTTTGAATGATTATAGTATTGTTTGAGGAAAAATCAACAAGACCCTTTATGGTGGAAAGTATCAGAGCCAACCCACCTGATACATATCAAGTTTGCTTTTCTTTTAATTTTTATTTTAGTTTATTGCTAATTATAGTTAGTTAGGTTTCTATTTGGATTATCCCAATTGTATCTAAATGACAACACCTCCGATTTCCTTTGCAACCTTTAGTCCACTTATTTATTTCAACCATTTTCCTTTATTTAGTTGTTTTAATTTAGGTTTCTATTTTTTTTATTTTATTAAGTATTTTATTTAGTTTAATTCATTAAAGATATTTAATTCATTTGGTTTTATTCAACTCACTTGATTTTGTGTATCAAAAACACTAAAAAATGATCTTTACCTTTCTTTCATTTACTTGTACATAATTACTAAATCCCTCCCGATAAAATTTCGAATATAACTAACCTCATACATTCACTAAATACTTTATTAAATTAAATTAATTCAACATCTTTACGGATAAAAGGATT